AAGCTATGAGAGTGATTATAGCAGCAAGGAAAAGAATGAAAACTTTGTCAAAACAAGTAAAAACCCTGTTAGACCCGGACGAGCTAATGATACTCAGAAAATAGGATGGCGTTCTCTCATAAAATAAAACTGCACAAAATGCTAATTTCCAGACCTTCTGCATTGCCTGTTGACACCTTCAAATTACCCAAAATGGGTAATCTCACCCCTATGAGAGCCCATGACTTATCACTGTTATTATACCGGTCCTCTGAATCTCCAGAAACAACGATATTACGCAATATAAAATTGTAATTCATTTTATGAAATGGTTCTATGAAGTTTACAAAAACATTATATAGGGATCGAATAAAGTTTTTTACATGAACAAGACCCGTTCTAACGATAACAAAATAAATGTTTAGTGGCGGTTGAGGAGAGCACATTGTCGCATTGAGCTGATGATACAGAGCAGCTCTGGACAGTAGTACTTAAAAGTTGTTCAAGTAAGCACGTCTCTGCGTAAACACTTCAGAAACGCACAAGCAGTCAGACAACATCTCCAATAATCCGATGTTTCGTGGATGGCATCGATTTTACGGAACGTATGCGGGGAGTGTCATAAGATCGAGCAGTTCCGTTGTGAAACGATCGATTTAGCACAGCCCTTTTGAGCAGGGGTAGTGTGTTGTGTTGACGGTATGGAGGCGACCGGCTGAATTCTGCACGATAAAGCTCAGAATTGGCACTTTCAACCCTTGATGCTACTGCGCTCGAACGTTCCGTGTAATCGGTCTGAAAGGTTTGCTTGCAATACGAATACGCAATCAACCGTTGTGATGCTACACTCCTCCAACAAATCAACTCCGTCTTGCAATTCAGCCACATTCTATCGAAAACAATCGTAAGCTCAACAAAATTGCCCATTCCAAGTTTCTGTTCTCGTCTATCTCTTCAACTTCAGCAATTTTTATGCGCCAATCAACAGCTCACCTCCCATTGCCAGTAACAGTGAAAATTGCCATTTGGAGTGAGAAAATCGATTCTTTTAAAAATTAAACATCACCGAAAGAACCCAAATTTGGTCGCCGATCGCAAAAGTGTTCGCCATACGAGAATGTCAGTGCACCATATGATTATCCATTTCAAGCACCTATCTCAATCAACCGTTCTGGGTATGTGACAGTCACAAAACGAACTTACTATAGAAACCGTTGAAATCTTTTCCTGCAAACTTTTGCGGAGTGTTCGATAGTTCGTATGACCACGATGTTTCTCGGCGAACAATTCGCTTTGCTCGTACTCTTCAACTGTGCAATGCACACAAGGCAAGTATCGAAATGCGTATCGAAATCCTATTCGAAAGCTGCAATCGAAATCGCTAAACGTTCATCTTCTACAACTTTCAGAATGAGTCACTATTCAGATATAAATTCGAATGGTGATGAGGAAATAAAAAGCAAAACTGATGACACTACCAAATTTTTGCTCATTAATCTCTGAAAAGTGGNAGCCGAGGTGGCGCTATTATGTGACGATTCATGCAATTATTGCCCCGTTTGCATGGTATACAAGAAATAAACATTACTTAATGTGAACGGATTGGGAACGATTGATGCTTAATTCACGGTTAGTGCAATTACATGAAATGCCATGTTTTATCAAATATGCGGATTTTTCAGGATGTAAATCTCAGGAGCGGGATTCACAACACCAATATCAATATGTCTTGTGGTGAAAGACAGCAAAAGATTAGAGTTCGAACGTACTTACCGTGCATTAGCATAACAATAAATGAACGGATTATATACAGAGGCGCTCATTGCCAACCAATAGAATACCAAGTAACTGTATGAGGCCAATTCGAAGTTCGTGATCAAACGCTCGAGAATAGCGTGATACAGTTGATATGGCAACCAACAAACCATAAAGATTCCAACCACCAGTGCCAACATTTTCACTGCCTGTCATGGAGCACAGCCTTGTATTATTATTATGCGATAAAAATTCGAATTTGTAACTAACACACGCATCAATCACCACTCATCTTACTCACCTTGCGTTTAGCACACAAATGCTCCTGATATTTGGTGCTGTGCTGCTGCAAACTGTCTGTTTGATCTCGAAACGCACACGCAATCCTACCGTAAGTGGCCGATAAAACAATCAAAGGCAAAATGTACTGTATGATCAACAATACATTATCGTATCTGAAAGTATGCTCTCTTCATTCGCTGCTTTCACATCCGCTTATCACTTATAATTAGCATCGAAATTTATTGCTCATATTCTTCCGGATCAGTGCCGAATAAACTCTTTGTAATCTCAATACAACAACATTTGGAAACGAAACATACTTCATCGAAGGTTATGTAAAAATTTTTTGTTGGAAAGGCGCGATGTTTTGCAATGACTGGAGTATAAGATGGTACACTTACACGACTTTGTATGAAAAATCACTGATGCATAGCCACTGCACAGTCAGAGAACGATGTTTTGCCGAAAAGAAGAAATGCTTTTCGATGCGTGAATGAAGCGCATTTGGCAAGGCAACGCACGTGGCTGATAACCAAATTGTGACGATTATCCAAACGGTTCGACGGTTCGATGACGATCGTTTACGGAGTGGATTCACTAAAGCGCGGCATCTGAAGCTCTTTTCATCTCACTGCTAGTCTCAGGTCATTGACACGTTCATCAGTCAGCAATCAGCTATGAGACTGATTGTCAAAGAGTGAATTATGACGCACGAAACTTGTGGTGAATCCTTGTTGTAACAATGTGCGATACCTGTCCCAACTGACGGCCACCATGGTGAACACTGAGACGCAGGTGGGTGCAACTCCAAAAAACAGGTTCACCGCACAGAATTTACCGAACCACCAGTCGTAGTAAAAATTAAACGTCCACGTCGTACCAACATTCAAGAGCGCTATCAAGAAATCGGCGAATGCCATATTCAACAGGAAATAGTTGAATCTTCTGTGCATCACCTTCAATGTGACGGAGACTTTTGTATTAGTACAGCTGATCAAAGCATGCATAATGACACTCATATTAGAAGAGCAATTCCGAGTTTTGTTTTATGGAACAACATTAATCAACATCTTTTTTGAATGCATCTCGCTTCGAGCTAAAAAGGATTAGCATGTGCAACGTTGAGGAAGCAGGATACCGAAAAGTGTCAAAGGATTTAAAAAAAGAAGTGAGTAAGTTGACAAATGGTCAGCTTAGTGTTCTGCATTGATTTATGAATGAACGTGTGCGATCGTATCAAAATAACCATTCGGAATTCTCCATTAAGTGATTCATTATCGAAACAAAAAATGCATAGTGTTTCCTTTTAGCGGTATATGACGAATATATTTTTGCCGAACCGCCAATGATAACTATTCATGAATCGTAATGAACACAATTATTGTTTTCGTTTGTGGCTGATGGTGTTATTGAAGCATTGGTGGAGATCACAAGATGAATGAACGTTGATTCAATAAGATCACACAAAATAAATGATGTTCAAGTTTTGTTCCGTCCCGAAAATTCTTTAAGATGGATGATAGCGTTTTGGTGCGGACTCTTCATTGCTTAAAAGACGTATCATTCATTCACTTACCTTATGCATCGCAATAATCCACATAACAACACAATTTCCGATAACTGCTGTCAATATCAGAATCGAGAATGCACTCGCAACAACCACTTGAGTTGGACTGAAACTGGCTCGTTCATGAAATGCTCTTCACTTTCACATATCAGTCCAGCAGTACGCAGGCATTGATTGTTTCAAAAAATTTCAGATTATTATCCGATTAAGTGGTCTCTGATTTACAAACCAATAATTTCTTTATCTGTCGTAAAGTATGAAAGAACAGTGTTCAGCAATGCTAAACACATGTTTGAGCGATCACAACTTTTATGCAAAAACAACTCGTTGAGAGTGTACTCATCAAAATGTTCTTTCTCCCTTAAAAAAATTTTCAAAAAGCACCGGATGCAGTTTTTGATTGACGAGCACACGTTAAATTGTTAGTCTTGCAAAGTGGATCGTTTCTTGAATATCATCGAACTGTTTCTTCATATCGTGTCGAAATTCAAATTCATCATCATGTGAATACTTTATTCAAAGCAAGAACAAAAAAATGTTACCGTGTCGTCAATGCGCTTTTAAGTTTGCGCTGAATTTGAGCAATTCAGCAGAAAAACTTGCGAATATGTCTGCTGCATTATTCGAATTCATACAACAGAAATGTGAAATCTGCTCATTGGAGGCCAGATACTTCCCTAGTTTCAGCAGCTATCGTTCTGTTATAACTCGAACGAAAACAGCCCCATGATTCAATATAGTCATTCAATATACAGTTATCACAGACGACGTTCAAATTTCCTCAGTGAGACAATCAGTTGTTTACATCTAATTTTAACCAGATGAAGCAGCTTGCCATTCCTTTCTAATCACATAAGCAAATGAAAGTAGCATGACTTTAGACGACATTTTATTGATTCAACAAAAGCCTTTTGATGTGGACTTTTTGAATGATTGTTTCGGATTTAATTCTAACGGTAGCATTCATTGCAAGCGATCGTTCATGATTAGTCTCATATTGGTTTGGCTAGCTGCAACCATTCAATTATCGATGCGATGAGCACGAAAAAATCCGAGCTTTTAATGAACCTCATGTAACCGCTGAGCACTGCGCTTCTTTGAGCACAATAAATACCTTAGACACAATTTAATTGTTCTGTGTGATAGATAGATGGAATAGCCGTCTGAAATGCAGCTTGATTAGGTGTTGCACTTATTTTATTCTTAGACCACTCAGTTGTGCCATTCGAAAAGTGCATTTTTCTTGATTTATCGCTGCTAAAGCCACTGATGACCAAATTAGACGGCATGTATTGTAAGTAGTAGAAACTTGAAATGAATGTGGATAAAATTAGGTCCGAGTGCTGGCTCAAAGCAAAAAATTTCAACTGGCATCCAGTTTTGAATTGGACAATCATGAAAGAAAAAATCGATGGCTACTTTGAAAGTGAATTTTCTCGTTGCAACGCTCTTGGTATAAAAGTTGAGTTTGAGAACACAGCAGTAAGAATATTGAAGCGAACAGTAACCATAATCTATTTCTCCATACTCACAGCTTACAAAATACCTCAAGCTAGCTGCAGCAGCTACACAAGCTGCTGTAAAACAATTGAATGTCAATTAAAACTAATTGTTAGTGAGGAATTCCGGTCTTCATTATCAGCAGCACATTTGAATCCTTTCTCAACGCCGTATTCACGAACTAAAATTCGCATATTCACACTGTTCGTGCTTTCGCATATTGTTAATATTGTTAGTTTGACGAAGATAAATTGTGCCATGGGATGCACATCGAATATTATGTGTTTATGATAGTTAACCGATTCTAAATACTGTCATTTCCGTGATTTTCATTTCCGCGATGCCTCTGTGAATGACCGATTTCCGAGAGAAAACCTTCCTAGAATGACAAAACTGCCAAGAAATTGCAAATCCTGTTTCGAAAAAAGCGGCAAGAAACATCGAAAAATCATGTGATGCATAGATTTAGTGATTAACATTCAAAAATACTTCGAATCTTTGCTTCAGCGTTTGCAATGTTTCGACACATCATTTATTCATGATTCACAACACTGAACTGCCACGATTACGAACTTTATATTTCATTCCTCATCAGAAATATTGGGTTGCTGCATAAGTTCGTGCGCTTTTATTCAAATTGAATTATTCCGACAAAAGTTCACTTTCCCGAAGGAGTGTTATACACCAATCGATAGCGGGTTTTCTGCTCTTCGCAACTGTTCTAGACGATCTACTGCAGTTTTGTTTCGTCTGGATCTTCAGCGTGATAAAATGAAGTGTCAGGTGGACGAAAAACGCATTTTCGACAAGTACTACTTTGTGCATTCATTCAAGGTTCAACGGTCGCTTGTTACATTTGTACCGTATACGAAGATGATGCAATGCTGGTAAGAACAGCCCAGAAATGCTTTGCGAGGGTCGCGAAGGGCGACTCTGACGTAAAGGGCGGGTGATGTTCAGGTCGCATGTTGGATCTCGACGAGGGGCGTCTGAATGTTCTCATCCATCAGAATCCGCGTCAAACTGCTTCAGAACGACGAAGCAGTCAATGCTGCACTGTACAGCGAGCAACTGAACCAGCTCAATTGGGCTATTCAGGACAAACGGCCCGATATCGTGAACAAGGTCAGCCTGCAGCATGACAACGCGCGCCCCCACACGGCAAAACTGACCAGAAAAACGATCGAGGAGTTTGAATGGGAAATTTTGGTTCATCCACCTTATTCGTCAGACCTCGCTCCATCTGACTACCACCTCTTCCGCTCCCTCTTGAAAAGCCTCAGCGGTGTAGCCTTCGACAACGACCATGCCCTCAAAACGTGGCCAGACGACTTCTTCGCCTCGAAGCCAGTGGGATTCTATCGTCGTGGAATCGACAACCTGGTGAAACGATGGCATGAAGCCGTGGCAATCGAAGGAGAATATATTATTGATTGGCTGGTTAGCTTCTGTGCTTTGAAAACGAAGTTTTAGGAAACTTAGATAAAGCGCACGAACTTATGCACCAACCCAATATATTCAGATTTATGAACCGCAAACAGTGCATGCAGTTCATTCCATTATTCTAAAGTTCGCAACAACATTTCAAAGATTTATTGAAAACTGCCTCCGAGAAATCTTCAACGATTAGATTTGCATTAAAGGTTCATTTAAAATTTTTTCCTTCGAATATAAAATGCGATGAATGTTATTTGTGATGATTGCGTGCAGCTGATTGTCATCAATAAATCATATTCTTCCCATCGGTGATGAGTGTAAACGCTTCAGGGAGTTTAGCATATTCTTAGGAATTGTTGACAAACGCAGAAGTGTTCATTTAATATCACATTCCACTCACAATCAGTATCGTGATCACTCAAACGCTAGATTTAGCGAAACATTTTCCACACGTTATTCGAAAAAGTTCCTTGTTTGAACCAATAAAACAATTGAGGTGCAAAGAAGTAAATCAAATGAAAATTGTCAATAACAGCATAATGATGATGACATGATGAAACTTACATTGAATGTTCCACAGGAAACTGTTGACAATGCAAGTCGGGCATCGGTGAGGCGCTGTTAACATTCGAGCAAACGTATTCGGCAATCATCGACAGCACCGTTTCATTCTGATATTGCCTCTCGATTGCTTGCAATGTGAAACTTTCATTCATCTGAAGCACTCACAAAGATGATCACAAAACTTATCTTCTGCGCACACTAACGGACGAATCGAGCCAATCAACACCAAAAACCATAAGCGCAATTCGGACGATGGCAGCTATTACGTAAAGAAAACGTTGAAAAAGCGATGTTTACGAGAAAACAGTTTGCAAAACGCTGCACAATAAACATTCAACTGGTAAAAGCATGGATCGTTGTGTTGTCCGTTGATATGTTCATCGCATTCCAGATTCGTAGTTGTTGACCTGATCACTCGACGCTGTTGACTTTCCTCGGCTTTTTCACTCACTCACTCATTTGTGCAACAATAAAATTGTGTTAATGCAAAACAATGCAATCATCAGTGACACGATTGATACGTTCCACAGCAAGACAACAACATCTAAAAGAAAGAAAGTTTTTCATTGCGTGTCCATTATCCAAATACACGCCTAGGTCTACATAGAAGCATCGCTCGATTTAATTTCGTTTCATTTAGTCTCATTTCTAAGAATTCATTTGACTAAGCACATATATGATTTCATGCAGCACAATCATGGGATAATACAATTGACGTGTGTTGATAGTTACGAGTAAGTAACCATTCGGGACGCTTTTGTTGCAAGCGTTGCTATGTTTTTGTGATCCATTCAGGCACTGAATACGGCATTAATGAATTGCATCATTTCCGATGCATAAGCAGCTGGCGTGTTAACTTTGTTTCCGACAATAATAATTTTAACTTTGTGCGCCATCCATACACCATTATGTAATGGTGGAAGTTCGCAAACGTAGACATTCTTCACATTTTATCATACTCTCATGGTGTTCAAACGGTTTCGTTTGCAGAAAACCATTTGGATACCATGAGAGACATTCATCTGTCTTAGGTGCAACCAAAAAAATGTCATCAATTCTTCTTCCTCATTGTTAGAAAATCTTTTCAAATAAGTTAGTTGGAACAATTTCGTTCGAATCGATGATCTGAAGAGCTCAAATCGTAAAAATTTTCGAAGCTCTATCACTACACTATGAAACATTTCAGTTTTTGTCTACGCACATGGTCTGTGTACTCATTTCAACAAGCACATTGAGCGACTGTTGAGATGTTAATAACAAAGCATGATAATACCAGCAAAACCTTCGCAAACTTTCATGATGAGACAAAGAAATGCGTGAGTCTGAGATCAAGCAACCTGGCCGTGTCCTCTTGCGTTGATCGTTTAAGATCAATGCGTTTTGAGAGAAACGTCTCCTCGAAAAGCATCGTTCTTGATCGAGATCAGAGAGCACTTCAATGGAAAAAAACCAAATGAAACGTTGAGAAAGTGCAAATTGAGCACTGAAAAAGCAAAGAATAGCGGTAAATTTGAGTGAACAAGCGTTTGATGAATGGAACCATTCAAATCCGCGAGGCGAACTCTTCAGAGGTTGAAGTTTAGCAACAATTAACACAGCATTGTTGGACTACATTTCAGCGTTCAACAATCGCAGTTCACCGCCTAGCAAACCATAAATTTCGTTGTTTGTCACACTGAAGGTTATCGGAAACATCATCTGGCAGCTTGGTATCATTGCACAACGTGAATTAATCACAAAAGCAATAAATCATCTCCAAAGAGTTCAATACGAAAGTTCAAAATAAGTGTCTTCGGTGAACGATGGTTGGACGTTATCGGCCACTAGCGGCAGGTGAAAAAGTTCAGTTTAGGACAGCTAGATGCATTCTTTGACAGCAAACATAGAACCACAGCGCTTCAATTATACGCTTTTCAGTCTTCACGCCGGTTGTCTTCTTTTGATGAACCACCACACTCACTCACCATTGATGTACATCACTCAGCAATAAAATGAAACTTCCATTAGATGCGTACATATCATTGACATATCCATGAAATTGTATACCACTTTACATATCACAAACTCGTGGAAACAATAAAATTTTCGTCTCGGGAAATACCTATAAAAGAGAACATGAAAAGAAGCATTTAAATGAGGAGACTATCACCATTTTGTGCTAGTTCAATGAGCGAGGCGCGTCACTTTCTCATGTGTCAGTGTGATGGGTAACAACGGCTTTCTCACTGAAGATATGAGCTTTAAAGTTGAATTTTTGAATAATTTGCTTACGACGATATTAACTATACACAACGCCTCCTCTGTGTCACAATGCAACATTGCGTAGTAAAACCTCTGCACACTTAATTAAAGGCTGCGGTTTTATAATTAGTAGAGCTGAATGGAGAGAAGAATCAAGATCTGGCTTATCTGTATAATACCTATGTGATGTTGCACTTTATGGATAAAGTGCTGCTTGAGAGGTTGCTGAGAAACATTCAAAAAATGAATAAGCATTAATTAAAATTAATGTCGGATGAGTACACAACGATGAGACCAACGCAATTAGAATGAATCTCTGGTTTTAAAAAAATTAGCCTATTGCAAATGTCGTCTACTCGACATTCCTGCATATGTTATGAATGCAGCTCAAGAGCAATCGCTCTGAACTTCAATATTGATTGCACTCAAATTCAATTCATGTAGCAATATGGCTCACGATCAGAATGAATGCTCACTTCGATGCGCAACGTTTTTCACATTGCTTACACTTACTAATCCATTATAGCACTAGCGAAGTAATGATTTTGTTCAAATTATTAACCATGAAGCGTAGCAATTCCATCGTGCGATAAAGCCGTCGTAAACTTTCAATCGCTGACGTGAATATTCAAGCGTGCTATGCACAAATAATTGCTCACTATTCGAACTGTTCGAAAACACATGCGGAATATGAGGTGGTGGTCAATTGAAGCTGATGCACTAAACAAGTAATCAAATATCATCATCGATGTGCGAGTAAATTAATTGCGATTGTTATTGGTCATTCGTTGAGGAGATATGCCGATTCACTGCATAATTGAGCCAGTGACTAGATGCTGTCCAACAATGCGTGTCCTCGTCTGTAACATTGCAAAATCGATATGCAACGAATTTGCGAACTATTCATTAATCGTTCTTAAGAAATCGACCGCATTTGCGAATGCCTGCAGATGTGTATGGATTCGTTACGAATCTATTCAGACGTCCACCTTCGATTTATTCATTCGTAATCTTCAAAAGTCAAGCGTCCCACTTACAATTAGCCGAGTCGATCAGTCGTCTACATATCATAAGAACTAATTTGGTGAAAAAACTAATTTGGTGTAAAACACAAATTGGTTGCTTTGATGAGCGAACGAATGAACTGAAGAAGGGTATTTGTATGGGACTTTGGTATGCAGCAATAAACACGAACTTTGAATTCATCACTCGAAAGCTTACCGGATTTTGCATTTTCATTGCCTCAAAAAATATTTCCACATTTTAGCGATGAGATGTTTCATCCTTGAAAGAAGGAAGTAAATTATCATTTCGCTTGGTAATCCCGTTGAGGAAGAAGGAACAAATGTATTGAAATTTAGACTTTGATAGTTCCGCTAGGCTTGAAGAGCGATTTAAAAGAACAAAAAAAAAGAACGGAACGCTTGATTCAAGCGAAACATTTCAGCGGTACGTGGCTGACAAGTGTAAACGTTTGGAGTGATGATTATTCGAAGGCTCGAAGAAGTATTCAATGATTTATATACTAACGAATCACTTCATAACCGCAGAATTGAAGCGAAATTTGAGAGTAGTATCCGATTCTAGCAAAACACTCGGGCGCGAATGGCAGCACGCAGCGACGGGTGCGAGCGATTCCACAAGAGTTAATTGCAAGAAGTCGTTCAGGAAATTCATCTCGTTCTGCCGAATGAAGGCTGACAGTCGAATTTGCTCAGTCGATCAAATCCCTGCCTTCAGGTATCAATCCTGATATAATGCGTTATGAACAAATCCTCATCACATCCTCTCAAGGCACCATAAAATCGTTTCACTGAAACTATATGTGACAATTGTCCACAGTCGGATGCGTTTAGTGAAGTCAGGAAACGATTTGAAAGTGTGATTCGATGCATTTTGCATGCAACATGCAGAACAAATGAGCTAAAACGTGTTCACATCCAACGATAACAGTGATGCTGCAATCAGAATGCTGCATCCAAATATTACGCTTAATGCAGTCGTCACATTTCCGGACAAGCACTGGAAATGCATTGAAAATGAGCAAATATGAATGAATCGACGATGCGGGAAACGCTATGAACGTATGAAGATAACGAGCATTTCGCAGCTAAAACACCGTCTCATTGCAACATCTCAACGCTGTTGCATCTGACCGTATCATTTATTCGAATTAATTGCGATTCGCTGATTGATATGTATTTGACTGAACATTAATTGAGAAAGTGCTTCTCTCGGTGAAATCCTTGATTATGTGCAGTGGTTCTTGATGCCCTTTTCAAATGCCACATTTCCATTTATGTGTCTTAGGAATCACGCTATGAATTGTCATGAAGATGAGCACCCTTCAAAAGTGGTCTGTATGAAAGAACAAGGGATTACCGCGAATAATATTGCTCGACTCTGTAACACTACACGATTGTACAGTGAGGAAAATTACTGGAACAGTTCAACTGAAAAAAAA